ACAAAGCAATGGGCTAGACCAGGGGTCGGCAAACTGTGGCTCCCACGCTATATGCAGTTCTTTCACGACATGTGGCTCTGAAGTATAACTGAAAATATTTGAAGGATATTATTTAGATAATGGTGATTTCACTTGTTTGTCAAAACCTATTTATGAATCTTGGATAATTTTTAAATTATTGTGAGGGAGGGGATTGGCTCTGCCATCTCAAAAGCTTGCCAGCCCCTGGGCTAGACAACTGGAGGGTGTTTCCTGGAGTGAAATGGAAGAGAAGAGGGAGGAGAGAGTTCAGGAAGTGGGCGAGGGGTAAGCCTGGGGGGGCTTGATGAGTGGTTTAAACTGCTGATGAGCTGAAATGTAAGCCCTCGCCTAATTTATCTTTTTTTTTTTTAAGGACAAAACATAGAGGTAGTAATAAGATTCCATTGCTTCCAAAGGACATCGGTCTAGTAAAATAGAGCGTCAACAAGCATGAAGGAAATCTTCAACGAGATGACTGCCGCAACAGCAGTCCCAGCAACGGATTAAAGCATGCCAACAAGGTGGCGCCAGCATGGGCAATCATTCATTCTGCCACGATGAATCAGAGCCAAATCCATGGCGACTAACATTAAGATTATTGAGAGTAACAGACGGGATGGTGGAAGACACTCAGAACAGTTCGTCACACTGAAGTGTCTTACATGTTACTCTGCTGCTGAAGACTATGTGGTCAGTCTTTCAAATACCAGCAAGATCATCCGTGGTGAACAAATTTAAGCTGAGATTCCTTAGTAAGACAAACCAAAAGAATCCAAACTCGTGACCATCGTGTAATGATGGGATCCTATCCTATAGGATAGGATAGAACTGCCCCTGTGAGTTTCTGAGACTGCGACTCTTCACAGTGGCCACCACAGTGAATGTGAGCAAGCCACCCATCATGAAGATGGTACAGGACCAGTCAAGGTTCTGCTCTGTTATCCGTGGGGTCACCAAGAAATGGAGCCCACTCAACAGCAGTAAGTGACACCAACAGCTTCATAATAATGATACTTGTCATCATCATAGTAGTAGTTGGGGAGAGAGATATAGATCAGCTGGTCAGAAAAGTAACTTGTCAGGTAACCCAATCCGCATTCGCTGTTCCTCTTGAGTCTGATCTGTGAAGTCCACCGGAGACTGAGTTCCCCTGAGGTGGGCACCCCAGGAAGCAAAGTTCTCTGTCTCCCTCCAGCATTGCTCAGGCAGTGGTCAGACCGAGTAGCCGCTGAGCTAATCTGGCACTGTGGCACAGCAGAGATGAGACTTAGCAGGGAGAGGGGCAGAAGGTATAAACCGGGGAGATGTTGGTGTCTGATCCCTGGGCCTGGCTGAGCTTGCTGCCTTTCCTCCAAGCCTGCATGGATTCACATGGCTGGCTGTATAAAGCAATCGACACCGTAACGGATAGCCCCTTCGCTGGAAACACAACCCCACCCATCAACCCACCTGCAGCTTCCAGATATTCTTGCTCTCCTGCGAGATCTTGTTGACAGTCTCGCCCATGAGGGCGATAAGCATGTTGAGCAGCAGGATGTAGGTGAGGATCACATAGGACAGCAGCAGCATGATGAAGACAGGCTTGAATTCGTAGTTCTCCGTGAACTCCAGGTCGCCCATACCGATGGTGAACTTGAACAGCTCCAGACACGTGGAGTACAGGTTGTTGTAAGAGCTGTTAGTCCCCCGGGAACCAGGTCGCTGCCACCTGTTGGGTATGGGCTCAGCCTGCACAGAGCCATTCTTCCCATCCTCTATCAGCGTCACAATTGCTATAGGGCACAGGGAGCAAGAGTGGGGCTGTCTGGAAGCCAAGATCTCAGGCTGCCTGGCATGCACACTCCCTCCTCCATGATGGGTCTGCAGCAGCAACACTGTTTGGCTAGGAGGCGCCTTTGAGAACGTTAGGGAGGGAAACTATTCCTTCTTCGAAACTACCAGAAGCTATCAGAATATATAGGATATTTTTGTTATTACACTATGAACTTTATCACCATCTGCTAGGGGGAAAGGTGAAAATAAATATACCGATCTGTATATTATGAACAGAGGCCCCTTTGAACCAGGGGGGCTGAGCAACTCAGAGCAGAATGGCGACCTCCCGCACACTGAACGCTTCTCTGATAAATATCATCCTGGGGACCTACGAGCTTCTATAAGAGCAGTATGCTCAAGTTACTGTAGATGCAGTGTCTACGAACTTCCTTGATCTAATGCCTTCCCAGCCACTGAGATGCTGCCCCTTCAGACCCAGAAGTCAGGGGCCACCTAGTTAATGCTGGTCCCTGTCAGGAGCCTCCTCCTTAATGCTGCCCTTCCAGCCCATACAAGGGTTCAAAAACAGTTTACACCGTGGGAACCCAGGCGGACACACCGTGTGGTCCACGTAGCTTCAAAGCACACAGGAAGATCCAAGCAAGGCAAGAGCTCTAACGCGTATGAGGGCATGTTAAGAGGGACCATGAATCAGCTTAAAGGAACTCCCACTGACCTAATCTTAGGCAATTAAGAATCCAGGAGGCCGTACAGATATAAGTACGTGTGAGAGAATGGAATGCTTCCTTACCCTAAACTGTGCGACTCGTAAACGGAGAACTATTGATGTGGTTGGGAGAAAATCATGTGGCAACCATCACAGAAGTAAGTCATCCCGGTAAGAACCACCAGTGGAGGCTCAAATTATTAGGTAGAAGTTTTATGACAAAATAAGACTTGTCTTCAGTCCCAAAGTAGCTCCTTCTCGGTTAGATGTCAATTAAGATGGGAAGGATTGTAGTTATATAGCAGATAAAGCTTCTAGACCCACTAACACCAAGTGAGCGAAGCGAGCATGACTGGTAACGGAAGAGGAGCCTTCCTGTGACCACTGATATCGTGCACTGAGGAGGACACATTTCTTCCTGAATAGCCTGGCCAGAAATGCAGGCCCGAATCCATTCATGAGGAAACACCAGGCATGCACAACGAGGGACTATGTGGGAAACAACTGCATCTGCTCTGTAAAGCGATTAAGGTCATGAAAGACAAGGGAAGATTGAAGAGTTACTCCAGATTATACTCCAAAACTCACCACCCTGGAGTCAACCAGGACCCATAGCCACCCTACGGGACAGACTAGAACTGGCCCTGTGCGTTTCTGAGACTATAACTCTTTACAAAAGTAGAGAGCCTTGTCTTTCTCTCACAGAGTAGCCGGTGGCTTCAAACTGCTAACTTTGTGGTTAGTTACTCCACCTATAATCCCTACGCCACCAGGGTTCCAGATTAGGAGAGACTGAAGAGACAATGTAGTGTAGTGCAGTACATGACCAAGGATTTTTGTCATCTGTAAGGACATCACTAGGACAGTTGGTGAAATTTGAATAAGGTATATAAACTAGCTAATGGTATTCAATTGGTGTTAATTTCCTGAGGGTGATAAAGGAGAATATCTTTGTTGTTAGGAAACACACTCTGACATAGCTAGGGCTAAAAGGTCGATCGTGTCTGAAATTTATTTTAAAAGGTGAGACGATAAAAACTCATGGCAAATGAAGGGAAAAGTATCAGCGTTAAAATGATGAACGCCCAATTTGTAGAAGGCTATGGAGGGAGTGGGAGCCCAAAACTCACCTGCAGAGTGTCTAGTCAGACAGAGCCGCTGGCAGGTCCCCTCTAAGTCAAAGGCAAGAGTGCTGAACAGCCTTACTATCCGGAAGAGACCATTTTAATCTTGATTATGCTGGATCAAACTCAATATTTGGCCTGCTGACCTCAGTCACGCCCTGAATTTGTTCTGGGTGCAAGCAAGCATCTCTTAGATGTTCCACGACAGAAAGTGTTTGCCTGGTTTCTTGAATGTTGATGGGCTCTTCTCCCTCTCACACATTATTTGTATTTTTGTCTTTCTGCTACTATGATCTCATCCTTAAAACCACCTTAGTACAATTTGTTTTTCATTGTCTTCTGTTGGGTTTCCCAGATGTGAAGCACAGGAGGAGTGGAGGTTTCATGATAGTAACTGATGCAAGGTGTTGTAGGGAGTGCAGGGGTGAGGAATGGGCAATAGGGAGGGAAAGGGGGTTTGAGGAGTAAAGAATGAAGGCGGGAGGGGGAGGGTCGAGGGAGCACTAGAACTGATCATGATTACACAATTCATTTTAAAGGCGATTTAACCAAAGGGCATGGGGAATGCTCTAAGATAGATGTGCTGGTTGTACAAGTCCCCTTAATATGATTGAACAATTGAAATACTCAATTGAATGATATGTAACTTGTACGGCGATAAAAATGTTGGGAAAAAATGATGGTGAAATTGGAGTGCACAGTTGTGATGCAATGAACGACTCTGGATGGCTCTTCTAGCCAACACATTGTCTTGTGATACCCACAAAATGATTAGGTGGGGCTAGACAAATAAACTTCTTGTAGCCCGCCAAGGAGATTGGATAGCATTGCTGAAAGTGTACATAATGCGTATGGAACTCTAACGAGGGGACTGGTCAGTTTTGCCATCCTGCTAGGCTTAAAAGAGGCTCAGTCCAGCAGAAAAGGATGGATCTCACTAATAACAAGAAGAGCTGGGAACGGAGCACATCCTTTGGATCCAGAATCCCTGCACTAACCTTGGGAGACCCACAAAAGAGAGAATCGTAGCTCTGTAGAGAGTGAGAAGCCACAGCAAGCACCACAGAACGCAATGGCAGAGACACAGCAGCGGCAGAATCCAAACACTGACACACGATGGCTGTAGTGAGCTGCCCAGGTTACCTGGTGAAGCAGCTACTGCTGGCTGAGGGGAAGAGTAACCCACGGAGTCAGGGAGCTGAGGGCCTGCAGGCAGGAGGCCTGCTGGCAGAGTGGGGTGCCTCTGGGCACTTATCAATAGAGCTAAAAGAGCTTCCCAGCCCTTGTCCAAGAGGGGGAGCAGGGGCTGAGGGCTGAGGGAGCAGGCTGTCCGACAGGGCAAAGAAGATCCTCTTCTCAGGGAGCTGAGAGGAGCCCTGCACTGCCAGGAGATGGTGAGAGAGTGGTTCGGCACTGAAGACCGGAGGCTTGGCCTGCAGGACCCCTGACCTGATCCCAAGTTGTAGCCTGGGGCTTTCCCAATACAGTAACCCTAACTGTGTGCTTGGTCTGAGTTCTGCGTGGCCACTGCAACAAATTACAGAACCCAGAAAAAGGGCAGAGGGGGCCAGGGGTGGGATGGCTGGAGTCGGAGAGAGGAGAGGCCTGCCAACCTCTACCACCCAGGAAGTAGCGTGGGGCTGACACTAATCTTGATTCCCTTGTGAAGTGAGACAAGGAGGTCTGTCTGATGACACCATGTTCCCATGGTTACAGGAGTCTGGACAAGCTATCCTTCTTGGGCCTTTTCTGCCAGTCTAGGAGCATGTCAAAGTTAAAAGAAGAAAACGAAGCCAACAAGCCTGTGTACTCCAGGCCAACAGCACTTCATACCTCCAACGTCACGTAAAGCTGCTCGGAAAAGGATCGCGTTGGAAGGTCCCGGAGAGAGTGGGAGGAAAGGGGGGCATGGAACCCAAAATTGTAAAACAAATCAGACTCACTGGTCAGATCGAGACTGGTGGAACCGTGAAGCCTAAGGCCCTTCATCCCCCTTCGGGTCAGGAACTGAACTCCCCCGATATCAGAATGATCAGCCATGTTAACATCTAAAGGCTAGCATTTTCCAAAGAACAACGTTCAGAGGGCTGGAAAAGGAGGAGGGTGTAACAGGGAACACGGGGAAGAAGTGGAGCCCGTGACGGTTTCCTGAGTGGCTTGCCAAGGATGAATTGCCACAAATGGGTGTGAATTATTAAACGTCAAACTAATGGGCTGCTGGGGAACCTTCACCCAATTTATAATAAACAGCTTTCTTTAAAAAAAACCTACTTAAGACAGTTAATGAATCCTATTTCCTAGTGGTACTCATTTCCGTTTGCTCTTTGTTCAGCCCCCCTGTCACCTTCGGCCACCTACAGCCCCAAAGAGACTCACACCTGGGTGCCCAGCAGGACTCCACCCAACCCAGCCCCTCGCAAAGCTGTCGGGGAACTGAGGTGAGGAGGAGGCTGCTCTTCCACCAGCCCCCACCATGCACGTTACCTGTGGAAAACCCGAACAAGAAAACGAGGTAGACGAACATGAAGCGACACAGGTCTCTCAGGATCATCTGCAGGAGAGCGCAGCCTTGTCAGAGTCCAGCCAGGCCCAATGGGCACTGGGAGCAGGAACTAGGGGACAAGCCAGGACTCCAACAGCCCGCGGGTTCATCTTGAGCCCAAATGGAATTGGGGGAACATGATGCAGGGTTCGGGTTGGTGTTTCTAAGCCCAGATAGCGTGGAGGAGTCACCTCCCCTCCCCTTGGGGCTTCCGTTTGAGGAGGCTCTGGGACAGAGAGGGTTAACTTTCGGGGAGGACTCACACCTGAGCAGGGCTAGATTGCGTAGGTCTTGAAAGAAAGGGTGGTGTTTGCAGCCTGGGGTTTCACACCCTCCTGGGGGACCTGCTTGGGCACAGGACACCCACCTTCTCAATCATAACAGCGTAGATGCCCATCTGCTGGAAGCCGCGGGTGTAGTAGAGCATGTTGGTCCAGCCCATGGCGAGGGAGAACACCATGGAGGCCACATACTCCTTGCGCTGGCAGAAGTACAGCGCCACCGTCCCAAGGATGCACACGGACTGCACGAAGCTGAGGGGGGAGGAGGAAGAAACCCTACCTGAGGGGCGCATGGCGGCCGTCCAAGGCCCCACCAGCAGGACCGCTCAGGCTGCCCGAGTCATGCGTGCGGCGTAGATTCAGAGCACAGGCTGGTGGGCACTCCTCCAAATTCTCACGGACTCCAGATTCCAGGAGCCCTGAAGGTTGGATGAGCCCCTGAAATGACTGCCCCAAGTTCGCCTTAAGTCTTAAACCCATGCTCCCTGATGTCTAAAGGCTAAGCAATGATTTAGCTGACCAAAAAACCAAACTTCAAACCCACTTCTGTCAAGTCAGTTCTGACTCAGAGCGACCCTCTAGTCTACCTTAGCTAGTAAAAAAAATAACTGCCTTGAACACCACACTCTTTTAAGAACCATCCACGTGTTAGGAGCAGGGGACCAGATCCCGAAGAAGGGCATCAAAAAAAGAATCAGAAGACCCTCAGGGAGGTGGATCGGCACAGTGGCTGGAGCAATAGTCTCAAACACAGTACGGACTGAGAGGGTGGCCAAGACTAGGCGGCGTTTCCATCGTACGTGGCATCGTACGTGGGTCCCTATGCATCAGAACCACTGGACCGTACCTAACAACAACAGGAACAACCCAGGGGGGTCAACGGACCACAGAAACTCAAACGACGAGACAGGCACCTTCGGGTGAGCCGTGACTTTATGCAGACAGGGGAAGGCACAACTCGGACAAGGAGGTCAGAATGGTCACAATGCTGAGGACATGTCCCTCCCTGAAGGGTGCATGTGGAAGCAGCTGCACTGATAGCGGTTTGGCTGTGTCTATGCTCAACAAAAGAAAGTTACTGTCTTTTTATTCTTTAAACACGGTTTAAAGGGACATGCTACTTAGTCCCTTCCATCATGCATCCCACGTGCTCACTGTAGTCCTCGCGATGGCAGGCCAGCACGCAGGAGAGAATGAGTGTGCTCCTGGCTACCTTTTGAACCTTCAGAGGCTGCCTGCTCCTGAGCCCAAGGGTCCAAGGGTCACTTACAAAAGCATCTCACTGTAGCTGTCCACAAACAAGGTCTTCAGTGAAGGCCGCCTCTGCAGGAAATACTGAATCTGCAGATAAACAGAGACAACACAGGAAACATGAACTCAAACCAAACTCTCTACCCTCATGTCAGTTGCGACTCACAGCAACCCTCCATCGGGTTTCTCAGACCGCGAATCTTTATGGGAACCGAGAGCCTCATCTTTCTCCTGTGGAGCAGCTAGTGGGTTTGAACTGCTCACCTTGCAGTTGGTAGCTCACAGCACCACCGGAACTCCTTGGTGGTGGTGGTGGTGGTGGTGGTGGTTAGGGGCTATTGAGCCAGTTCCAAGTCAGTGACCCTGTGCAGGACAGAATCAAGCCCTGCCCAGTCCTGCACGGTCCTCAGAGCTGTTCTTATGTCTGAGTACATCGGTGCAGCCAGTGTGAACCCATCTTGTTGGAGGGCCTCCTTGGTTTTGCTGCCCCTCCGCTTTGCTGAACACGATGTCCTTCTCCAGGGACTGGTCTCTCCGGACAGGTCCAAAGTGCATGAGCTGAAGTCTTGCCATCCTTGCCGCTAAAGAGCATTCTAGCTGTACTACTTCCGAGACTGAGCTGTTTGTTCTTTGATACTTCTCTAGCACCACAATTCAAATGCATGGATTCTTCTTCTGTCTTCCATATTCAAGATCCAACTTTCACATGAGTATAAGGCAATTGAAAAGACCGTGCCTTGATTCAGGTGCACCTTTGTCTTCAAAGTGACATCATTGCTTTTCAGCATTTTAAAGAGGCCTTGTGCAGCAGATTGACCCAATGCAATGTGTCTTTTGATCTCCTGACTGCTGCTTCCATGAATATTGATTGTGGATCTGAGCAAGACAAAATCCTTGACAACATCAGCCTTTTCTCCATTTACCATGATGTTACCTATTGATCCAGTTATGAGGATTGGGGTCTTCTTTACATTGAGTTGTAATCCATACTGAAGTCTGCAATCCTCCATCTTCATCAGCAAGTGCTTTAAGTGCTCCTCA